GTACATCTGCTGTGGGTAATATATTAAATATTCTTAGGCAAAAAAAAAAAAAACCCTAAGGAAGTTCTTGAAAATGTTAAGATGTTGATGTTGGCAGTAGAACAAACTCATTGGGAGGGGGGATAAAAACAGCTTAATCTAGTTAATTAACAACAAAACAGCTGGGAAAATGAAACATCCCTGGTTGTGATTGACTGTAATTGAAAATGACTAATGATGCTGTCACTTTGTGGCTTATATGTGAGGAAATGATGCCTGCAAGATTATAATTGCCCTTTTGACCATTTGTCTACAGCAATTACTTTGTGTTAAAGGTTCAGATGGAACCTTTTGGCCATACTGAAGGCTCCTCATACCTTACTTTTTCTGTTACATTTTAAAATAATTCCAGAGCAGTAAGTAATATACATTGCTTAAAATAATTATAGTATTACATTATTAGATTTATCTAATCAAGTTTTTTTAGGTTTTTACCATAGAGTGTATGAGCTTGCCAGAGACAGACAGACACAGAAAGTGAGAAATCACTCCCCAAGGGGGATGGCGATACCACGATCCCTTCCCCTTCATCTCTCCCCTGGATTTTGGGGTATGCATGCACATGTATCCAACATGACTTTCAAGCCACCAAGTCTATGACTTGAAGCATGACTGACCATGTGGGAGTCCAGTGCCTCAACCACCAGCACACCTGCTGGCCCCACAGGATTTCTTATGGAGAGTTTTTTTTGTTGTTGTTGTTATAGGTAGGACACGTGTGCTTACCAGAAAGGCAGAGACAGACAGAGAGATAGAAGTGAGAAATCACCTCATCACCTCCCAGGGAGGATGGCCATGCCACAATCCCTTCTCCTCCATTCTCCTCTTGTGACCTTGGCCACGCACGCACACGCACCTGGCGTTAGTTTAAGTCATCAGGTCCAGGACTCGAAACGCGCTTGACATGAGAGTTCAGCGACATAGCCATTATGCTAACTGCTGGTCTCAGGATTTCTTTTGGTAATATAAAATGTTGGCAAAGCAATCCAGCTGGCTTTATTATATCACTTCAGCATGTAACCAAGACATTTAAAATTCCATGAGTTCTCTCAGTTCTAATGTATGGAGTTTGAAATAACTCTCTCTCTGTCTCTCTATCTGTGTCTCTCTGTCTCTCTCTCAGACTGCGTGACTTGAGTTCTGAATTTGGTGGCTTAAAAATCACACTGGGTGGGGGCCAGCAGGTGGCATGGTGGTTGAAGGCACTGGACTTCCACATGGCCTACCACAGTTCAAGTCCCGGACCTGGCAGATTGCTTTCTCACTTTCCCTCTCTCTTCTCTCTCTTTCTCCTCTCTCTCTTTCTCTCTTGTCAAATTCAAAAATGAATAAATAAGTTGAATAAATAAAGTAATTCTTTAAAAAATATTACATGGGGTGCATGTGTGTACCAAAATCCCAGGAAGAGAAATGGAGAAGAAGGGATTGTAGTATGGTCATCCCTCATACGGGGTACTTTCTCATTTCCCTCCTCTTTCTGTCTCCCCCTGATGAGTACATGTGCCTGCTACCAAATTAAAAATAATAATAATAATAAGAGAAAGAATATTTTCCAAGTTAAATTAAAAAACAAGTATTAATAAAATAAAATGGGATTGCAATGTTTAAGTTCAAGGGAGCTTAAATAACAATAAAAAAATAACAAATGGTTTCTTTTCTAGTTGTTGCTTTTGTTACTGAAGGTAATTGCTTTGTTGATTTTTAACTGATAAATGGGATGTGACGGAAGACCCAGTATTACTCTCTGAAAAATGGAACACATTAAAATGATTTCATCAATGGCATTATCATAAAATATTATCACCAAAGATAAAACTTTAGCAAACTTTTAAATAATTCATTTAACCCATACAATGAATCTTTAACAATTTCTGAAGTTAAGAGGAACAATGTGCAAATCAAATGAAATAAAAGTGTGATGGGAGGAAAGAGAGATGAAAGTAAAACAAAGATGTTTAGTTTTTCAACCACAATTCTAAGATTTTTTTTCCAGTCATTTTACATCATAGATAAAGGACATTTATATCATTGGAACTGTCTCATGACATATATTTGACCTTGAACAGGAGTCCACAAAAATTAAACAATGAAGAAGTTGGTTAGTCAGAGATGAAAAAAAGAAGAAATAAAAACTTTGAAAATTAAATAAATCCTAGAGAAGTTGATAAAGGGAAGAAGGAAAAGGCAAGAAACTGAACAGAGATGAGCCCAGTTCCCAGTTAGAACTAAGCTTGGGTGGTGAGCGTGGGAGCTGAGCAGACGGGCTGTTTGATTCAAAATGTGGAGGTGCCAATAGACAGTCAATTTTCTAAGAAACAGAAGAGTTCTCTGATGTGTCCTTAATTAGAATGTCTGCAAGGCATGGACATACTAATTATCCATTTAAATGTACAATATGCATCATGAAGGATTTTCATTTTCTTTTTTAAGAATATCATTTTCTCCTTCTTAATTTCTGTAGTTTCCAAATGCAACTCCCCCCACCAGAAGAAAATCAAACTTCTTTCATGAATATATACTGGAGACTGCTCAGACCCTTCCTCTCCTTCTCTTAAGGCCTGAGAAAGCTCAGAGTTAAGAAAAAGAGGCCTTAAAAATAGCACAATTTAAAACTTTTATGTATAGACTTACAGTTGAAAAACACTTTGTTTATGTACTATCAGAGCAATGGCTCAACCTTCAGAAAAATCATCCCTAACCTTTAAAAAGAAGTTTTTGATCCATACAGAGATTGAAATAGCCCTCACAGCTTTCTGCCTTGTATTCCTGGGTGCCATGTTGTAATCTGTGAGGTCTTTTTTCAAGCCTCCAGTGTTTCAAGCTACCACAAACACTGGCTAATGTTCACATGTTTCCAAAATCCTGGTCCATTTCAAAAGGTGTGTGTGAGTCAAGTAGTTCTTCACCATCAGAACTTCCAAATCAATCTCGCCCTTTTGCCCCTACAAACTTGATAGGTTGATGCTTCTCCCAACCCAAGGGAAAACTGGTACAACAAGGGTGAGTTTTCACTTAAGCTCTGCTTCTTCTAAATAAGTTGAACTGAGAAGAAATGGGGAAGGAGGAGAGGAGAAAAGAGCAAAGGGAAACAGTGCCGATAGTTTTACAGGATATACAAAACAATAGTTTTACAGGATATATTAAAAAAAAGGAAGTCATATTTCCTTGTTCATTGTTTTGTTTCAGAAAGCTAATTCCCCTTTTACATTACTGCTGCAACAATAGAAAACAGGTATGCTCAAGCATAGCAGATTCCAGTTCTGACCTTAAAGTGGTGTAGGGGTTGAGTGTCTGAGTTGAGGTATGATAAGTTAGTGTCAACTTCTTGCTTTGTTTTACAGACAATCAAAAGAAAAATGTTCTCATTGGTTTTTCAATTAAGATTTTTCCGTGTGTGTGTGTGTGTGTGTGTGTGTGTGTGTGCATTTGTGTTACAAAATCACAGATGTAATAAACAAATTAAATGCATGTTTGTAATCTATAACAATTGGTGCCAAACCCTGGCTCCTAGTCATACTCACATGGCATACAGTCTTTGAGGAGAAACCAGGAGCAGATAGAATGGACTTATGTAGTGGTCTATTAGTCATTTCATGGCTTGCTATAAGGAGAGTCACCTGTTATCCACTATGGGGACTGACTTTCTTTAGAGCATTAATAGAAACCCTAAAATATGGTGATTTTGAACTCTCTATAGCTCTCCAAACTAAATACCAAAAACATTGTTAACTATAAGAGATTATAAGACCAGGTCTGGATGCAAATTATTTTCTGTATATTTGAGGAGTGGGAATAGTGTCTTCCTCAAGAAATGTATGTTGCTCTCTACAGAGAAATCTGGGCATTTAGCATTTGGTGTTTGGACATTATGTTTAGGCCCAAACTTTGAATTTACCTAAGGAAAAGTCCCTTGTAAACTGTAAGGAAAACAAACAATTTTCTAGAAATGAAGCTTGGGCCAAACACAAGGAAAACTAAGCGGTGACCTTAGAGACAGAGTCTAAGTCATGGTAATGTTGTTTGCAAGGACAAACTGGCTCTGTATAATGAGGTTATTGACCTGCACTGTTTTAGAGCAGTTTTAAACATGAGGGTGAGGCTCACTAAATCTCAGCCTGCAACATTAGCTGAGAAACCAAGACCGATCAATAAACAGCCACCATTACAGGCTCTCGGGAACCTTCATCATAATGGGCGCCATTATAATTTTGGTCAGGTACAGAGAATAAGGCAACCTATACCTAACATTTATTTATCACTGGACTCTCATTTGCAAATGGAAACCATTGATTAGCTATTTTTTTGAAAACCGACCTGGCTTTCCATCTCTCTCATCAATATAACAGCCTGTGAATAAGCATACCCTAGACTTCAAAATGTTCACAGAGATGGGAAAGAAGTAGAAAGCCTTTTCCCAGGCCAGCTTTTTACCAAAGAAAGAAGCAATTACATGACATTCCACTAAAAATTCTTGACCCAATAAAGTGCTAAAGCCCAAATGCCGATTTTCCTCTTTCATAAGAAAGAGCAACAGAGAAAAGAAAGGTCACAGACCATATTGTGATTCTTTACAGCTGTTGGAGACAGACAGTATGATGCAGTAGCTTGATTTGAATTAAGCCAAACAATATGAAAAGCATCAAGGCTGGCAAGCAAAGCAATAAAGCCCCAAAGAATTTAATCTACCTTGAAGGTGGGACTACTTTTTGTATTGATGGCAGCACACCAGGACAGAAATGAGTCCTTTAATGCAATGACTCGTTAATAGCCTTAAGATCACAATATATAAATAGGATATGTTGATCAAAAAGACAGTTTTGCCTCTGCTATTACAGTATGGCCAATATTTCCTTACAAGTCATTTCATTGATTATAAATAGACTACGTCAATGGCAAATGTACAACAGGGGAAGCATAACCCATTATGAGGTAATGGATATTGCTAGAGGTTGCTTCATTACCTTTACTGGCTGAGTGGCTGGTTTTTCCTTGTACAAATGCTGCCCTTTAGACAAAATCCCTTCCACATCCGGTTGTTTAGCTCGAACTGCTACTTCAGTTTCCTGGGGAAAAGAACCCATACAGTGCAGATTAACTTCACAGTTAGCAATAAAATTACTAAATTTAAATATACCCTTGGAGACTCCGCATGTATTACAGATCAATTTCTATGTAGCATGTAGAGGCACACAAAAAGTATCATTTGGTTCAAAGAAAAGCAATGGAATTTTCTATAAAATATACTAAAGTGAAAAAACATTAATACAAATTTTTTTTTAATTATACCATAAAATTATTATATAAAAACACAGATATTGACTTCTTATTTTTCAAAAAAGTAAAATGCAACAATAAGAGGTATCATTTATTGATATAATTTATATGGATAACTACTAGTGTTAGGTTCAATAATCTCAATAATCCTTATGTTCATTTTCCTTTATAAATTTATTTCATAGGATTCTATTATGGGCTTTGGATCTATAATACTGTTTTGAAATAAAAATCAAAAAATTCTTTCCACATCACTGTTGAAATTATTACTTTTTTTCCCAAAGAGTAAACACTTAAAGCACAATATCAAAGCTTATTATTTATTAAGCAGTCAAATTAAATAGGCCTTTTGAGGAATGATGAAATTAATTTTTTTATTGTTTGTTTTTACTTAGCCTGGAGAAGGCTGAGGGATGACAGAAAAAAAAAACCTTTAGATATATGAATTTAAAGTGTTTTCTTAGTAGCTGCTGTCTAGCTCTCTTGAAGAGAGAACAAAAGAAATGTGCATAAATTGAGGCTGAAGGAAGTGAAGTTAAATATTACAGAAGACTTTTTGGATGGAACACTTGTTAAACACTAGGATAGAGTATCGATTAATCAATGTCAGGCGTCAGTCGGTATCATTTATTGATATAATTTATATGGATAACTACTAGTGTTAGGTTCAATAATCTCAATAATCCTTATGTTCATTTTCCTTTATAAATTTATTTCTTAGGATTCTATTATGGGCTTTGGATCTATAATACTGTTTTGAAATAAAAATCAAAAAATTCTTTCCACATCACTGTTTTAATTATTACTTTTTTTCCCAAAGAGTAAACACTTAAAGCACAATATCAAAGCTTATTATTTATTAAGCAGTCAAATTAAATAGGCCTTTTGAGGAATGATGAAATTAATTTTTTTATTGTTTGTTTTTTTTTAGCCTGGAGAAGGCTGAGGGATGACAGAAAAAAAAAACCTTTAGATATATGAATTTAAAGTGTTTTCTTAGTAGCTGCTGTCTAGCTCTCTTGAAGAGAGAACAAAAGAAATGTGCATAAATTGAGGCTGAAGGAAGTGAAGTTAAATATTACAGAAGACTTTTTGGATGGAACACTTGTTAAACACTAGGATAGAGTATCGATTAATCAATGTCAGGCGTCAGTCAGGACTGGGGCAATCTTCCCAAGAGAGCAGCTCTTGATTAACCCATATCTCTCTTCTCCCCTTTCCTATGCTGGAGCCTCCCAGCACTGCTGTGTGTACGTGTCTCCACGCTACTATTTCCTTAATATTCTGTGTTCATACCTGTGATCTCTCATCCCATAGGAGCAAAAAAAAAAAAAAAAAAAAAAAAAAAAACCCCGAAAAAAAGTTAACAAAAATTCGTTGAGCACGTCCCGGCCAGGGCTCCCACACACACGGTAGGGTGTTCTGCGATTTATGGGTCTTCAGTCCATGTGCCTAAGAGGGTCTATTTCTCCAGTTCTTAATATAAGAAATATAAGTGAGAGATAGATATTGTGGTTGAAAATGTTAAGATTAAGCCCACGTGTTAATGAGTATGTTTGTAAATCTCAGTTCCTTTAAAACAAAGCTTAGCTACTTCACTCTTACAGAATGGCTGATTGATGGTCTTACCGCCCATTGCCAGGAAAAGGTATTGTTCCTTCAAAGTGCAGTACCCGGAATGACTGTAAGTCTTTACAAGAGGTAGAAATAGCTCTGATTTCAGAAAAGGATGGAGAAAATCTAGTTTCAGACACTGAATTCCTAAGAGGACCTAGCCACTATAAATGCATCCTTAAATGCCCCATTTGCAAGACATTTTGGTGTAGTGAGTGGTTACAAGATCTCAAAATATTTTAAGAGAGAAAATAAAATATGATACTTTCAAGAAGTGGAGAAGACCGCACATCTTTAACAAGATAGAAAGGATTTAAGCGAAGAGAAATAAAACTATCTCCCCCCCCATACATGTGATACACATACACACACAATACTAAGCCAAATCCAAAGAGAATTTCAAAATTATACACTCATTATACCTCTAAACTGAAGAGTTAACTTGAAGTGTTGCCATCACCATTCATTTTGTATGTGTTTATCTAAGAAAAGGCACTCTTTTCTATTTTTTCAGTGACTACCAGGGACTTTTTTGTGTCATTCATTGATACTAATCATTATTCATAGTAGATAAAGTTTTCTGACTACCTTCATAACAACTTTAGACTATACTATTGGTAACTATATTATTATTAATTTATCACTTGTATAACTAAAATTCCATTTCTTCCATTTTTAATATTTCCCAAACCCTGATTCAAGCACATTCCCACCTTACAGATGAAAAAAAAAAAAGCTGTGGTGGGTGGTGATGATGATGTGAATGACTTGCCCATGATGATTCCATGGATGTAGGAGAGTTAATACTAAAATGGTTCGGACAGAATAAAAAACTCATGCCGTTTCTACTAGTTTAAGTTACTTCTCTGCATCTTATAAAAATTTATATCATCTAAACAACTTGTTCTAATCAACCTTATTTCTAAGCAATAAGACATTTTATTTTCATCATCTGAACCTATTTTATATGATGACAGATTGGGACAAAATGTCAGACCTCCCTGGTAAAGGAGAGTCAGATTAGCTTGCAAAGTCATTGATGTCGTAAAGTACGCATAAGGATTCTGGATTAACCCTGGAAGCAGACCACATGAGATGTGTCACTATTGGACCAGAGGAGTATGGCTACAGGATACAATGGTAGTTCTTCCCATCCATCGGAATTTTTGAATGATACTAGAGACCATTGTTTCCACTGCCGCCCTGCAGTCTTAAACTGTTCCAACCCATTGTTTCATCTTTCATAACAAATTGTGATTAGTCAAGTTATGTGTGTGTGTGTGTGTGTGTGTGTGTGTGTGTATAAATTTGGCTATCCCTATTGTATTATCTTTTACGAGAGCAAGACTCTTATCTACCTTCTTCACTCATTGTATTACTGGCAGTGCCTATTACATAGTAGATACTAAATAAAAAATGGTTGAATGGGCAAATAAATATTGCTGTGTATGAAGCCTGTGGGTATTCAATTAGGTTGTGTACTAATAGAGACATTTGTTTATTTAGACAATTGAATGTTTTCATGCTATAGATCATTTAAAAAAATTACTAGAGTTAAATGTACTTCTCTACTTCAGGATTTACTATATTACTTTCAAAAAATTGTACATCATCTTCTTATTGATTACAACAAGACTTAAAAAACCCATTTCTATGATAAATAGGTTTTTGATTTATTTAGGTTTTTGCCATAGAGTACATGTGCTCAGTAGAGTGAGGCAGAGAGAGGGAAAGTAAGAAATCTCCCCCCGGGGGATGGCCATGGCACAATCCATTCTCCTCTTGGATTTTGGACATGCATGCACACGTGCCTGGAGTGATTTTCATAGTCATTGGGTCTGGGACTGAAACTGTGGTTGGCCATGTGCAAGTCCAGCACCTTAACCACCATGCCACCTGCTAGCCCCCAAAAGTGTTATTTTAAACTTACCTACTTTAAAATGACTTCCTTTTACCTAGAATTACATCCCTCCAGTGCCTTTAACCACCACAACACCTGCCAGTCCCCTGATATTTACTCTTAATCCTATAGAAATAGTGATGAGAGTAATCCTGTTCAGCTCTAAAGTCTTTGTTGTTACTTCTCTTTGTCACATTTTTTGAGAACTAGATTTCTAATTACACGTACCTTTATAAATCACTTTAGAAAGACCATTTTGAAGATGACTGTCTACAATTTTTCTCACTATATTTATTTGCAGTGTGAATTGATTAGGTAGAGACAGGTCAGCTATTCAGGACAAGATATTATTGTTTGAAGAGTCAACTGCAGTACATACAATTAATTTATTTAAAATATTCTTTTATATTGTCCTAATCTGTCATATTATTGTTCTTCAAAGAATTATTTCATTTTATTTATTATCATTATTTTTTAATTTATCCAGAGAGAAACAGAAAGTGAAAAATCAAGCTTCCAGGTCCAGGACTAGGACTGTGGACTGTCATGTGGGAGTCCAGACCTTAAGCACCACACTACCTGCTGAAGCCTATTGCAGTATGAATAACAGAAATACTTGCATCTGGGTAAAACAAAACAAGAACAAGAGTGTGTGCATATCTGTGTTTCCTTATAAAACCATGTGTACCAATCAAGGGTGCCTCACCTTGATCCCTAATCACTTCGCACAGGCCCCACTTCTTAACACCATAGTTGGGTTAAATTTCTATTTTCTTAATCCCTTGAAATAGCAACTAATTTTCAACACGTGAATTTTCAAGAGACACATTGAAACTATAGCCAATATATGGTTCTTTTGGTTTTAGAGAAATTTTTCCCATAGGGCACGTGTGTTCACCAGAGATACAGAGAGACAGAAAGAGAGAAATCAGCCCCCTTCCCCAGGGGGAATGGCCATGACGCAATCCCTTCTCTTCCATTCTTCCCTCAGGATTTTGGCCACACACACACATACACCCAGTGTGAGTTTTAAGCCACCAGGTCCAGGACTTGAACTGCCATTGACTATGTGGGAGTCCAGTGATGTAACCATTACACCATCTGCTGGTCCCAGAAAATAAATACTTCTTAAATATGTGTCAGGAAAAATACATTGTAGGAAGCTTATAACCATCCTGAACAAGTGGAAGAATAGATCAAAATTGTAAAATTTTGATATTCTTCCATGCAAATAAAATTTGACATGAAAAGCTAAAAAAGCCCAATGTAAAAAAC